TTTTTCGGTTACGTCAGGAACACATGCTTGTTATTTTCATTCGAATGATGCGTTGAGATTTTAGCACATTTAGATGACGAAAGATTAGAAACAACAAATGAAAAATATACGTGCGTACATTTGATATGAAATGAAAAGAAATGAAATAATGAATCAATTGTAAATTGATCGAAACTTGACGCCTTTTCATAGCCAAGTAATTGCAGAATTTGTTTCTAAAGGAAAAAATTAATTCCAATATTTCATTCAAGATTTTTTTCATCAGAGGTTGAGCGATACGAAGAATGTGCGGAAATGGTTTTGCGTCATGGTCAAATTTTAATTCGCTTAACTGAGATTCGATCGACATCAACGTCTCGTTTAACCTTCGATGAAACTAGCTATCCTTGATCGAAACATCGATCCATTATTTTCCTTTAGAAACAAATCTTCCCTCCCTCCCCCCAAAGACTTACAAAAATACTACACGAGCAATTTTCAGAATAATACTTCAAACGAAATATAATATACATTTTCCAATCCAATAATCAAGATTTAAAAAAGATAAAAAAAAAAAAAAAAAAATCTAAAAAAAATTACGATCTTTCGATGGAAAGAAAAGAAAAAAAAAAAAAAAACGAGAAAAACACTTGAACTTTTCGATCCGAAAGTTATCACTCGCTCTCCCTCCCCCCCGATTCAGATTCGGGAGTATCGCGAGGAATCCTCCTCGTTCAGGCCCTCTGATTAACCGTGGTGCCGGCCGACTGCGAGGCCACGTGGCGGTGATTAATATGCGCCTTCAAATTTCTCTCGTACTTGGAGCTAAACGTGCAATGGGGGCAATTGAAGGAGGGCGCTTTGCCGCACTCGTACAACAAGTGCCTCTTCAATATGTAAGCGTTCTTGTAGCTCTTCCCGCATCTCGAGCAATTGTGTCGACGATCGAGCCCCGACACTGACACGCTGCCGATCGATCTGTTGTTGTTGTTGTTATTGTTGTTGTTGTTGTTGTTGTTGTTGTTGTTGTTGTTGTTGTTGTNTCTCCCTCCGTGACGGGAGGGACAATGAAGCCTTGCCCGCCGTTGAGGCGTCAACGGTGCTGGAACTTCATTGGCTGTGACGCGTGACATTCGCCTCGCCCCGTCCGAGCTCCATCCAAGGCTCGCGAAGAAACCTGAAACCATCGAAACAAAACGTTTCGAACGGTCGATTAGTTTCACGTGTGTTTTGGTCGCTCTACAAAGCTATCTGTATCTGGTACTGGTATTATATTTCGTTGCACGAAATTGCTCTTTACAACGGCGAGGGCCATGCGATAAAAAAGAAAAAAACATTCAAGTTTTCAAGCTTAGCAACAACGAGCATGTCAATGGGGAATCGGGGATCAAGGGGATATGATTACTCGGCTAGCTATTTCGCCTATAGGAGGATCTTCTTTCCGTTACTTGGAACGAGATTTTTCTTTCTCTAAGGTCTAAGGTTAAGGTCTAAGACCCTCCTAAGGATCTCGCGTATTTATCTCTCAATCCCTCGACGACACGACGAAATACGCTTTCGCTGCCGCGTATTTTTATAGATAATAGTAAAGTTTATAGGGATAAAGTTTTCTTTTTTTCCAAGATACCGGTCTTCTTTTCGTACCTCCAACGTGTTTCCTTCGTGTTTATTCCGTGTTTTGTTCACTTTGTAGTAGTAGTGGTAGTAGTGTCCGTAGCCTTCGTGTTTCGTCCTTTGAATTCGAGCTCGCTCGAGTTAGTAAGAATCGTCCCTGAAACTCAAGCAACGTGTCGATTAATAATTGATATCCGGTATTTTAAAGAATGCCAGATTCGTCAGAAATATTCGTTAGAGATTTTTCCCGTGCCTCCTCTTCTTCCCAGACGAGGGCAGTGTGTCTCTTCGATCGATCGTTGGAGATTGGATCCATCAGCATCACCTGTGAAAAAAACAATATTGTATCAGTATGCGGAAATTCGAGATTCTCTTACCACTTTCTCTTCCCCATTTTTCTTTCATTGGCGAACTCCGTTGTCCTGAACGTCCATAAACAGTTGTACAGGAGCGATGAATGAAGAGCAAGAAATGGAAGCGGTTTGCCTTTCTAGACTTTATTTTGCTCTAAATCGAATACAAGGCTCTCTACAAATTGACAAAAAAAAAAAAAAAGGAGGGAAACAAGCATTTTGGAATGTTCGAAAAGACGAAACGCTACGGGTACAAAAAAAAAAAAAAAGGAGGGAAACAAGCATTTTGGAATGTTCGAAAAGTCGAAACGATACGTGTACAAAAAAAAAAAAGACAAAATGAAAAGGAAGCACAGTAGTGGTGTAAGAAAATGTAGAAGACGCGAACGATCGGCCAGCTGGATGGAGTCGCGCGAGTTTTCACCATTTTTACTTTCTTACTGGATCGCGTACGATACGCGCCGTCACGCGATTCGAATTTGGCGGCGAAACAAGATGGCGCGCCGTTCCGACGCGATTCCGCCCAATCGGCCGACCGATCGTTCTATAAAAATTTCACAAGCAAGCGACGCTTCTTCTTATTCGCGGTAACGTGAAAAACACGAAAAACCGGTCGAATCGCTCAATCAATCGAACCGATTTTTCCCGCTTTCCCGTGGCAAGGGTACGAGGTTTGCCACATTGTCCGCGATCGATCTTTCTTCGATCTCGATAATCGAGCGCACAATTCGATTGCTCGTGTGCCGCGCCACCCCTCGGAAAACGGGTGGCGTCGGCGTGCGTTTTACTTTACTTCGTTACATGCATGTGTGGATTCGTCGCAAGAGAACAAGCAAAAAAAAATTATCTAGAAAGAAAGAATATCGTTATCATCATAGCGTAATCGTTAATAATTATTGCTCTCTAAATAATATTAATATAAAATGGAGACAAAAATGTAATAATAAATCATCGTTCGTTGGCAAATACATGGCGACAAAGAAATTACGATTACAAATATGTTTTGCGTTCGAGGCGCTGAGCGGAAGTTGTAGTTGCGTTACTCTTTTTTTTTTTTTTCTTTTCTTTTATTTTTTTTACGTGCTCTCTGTTCTTTCTCTCTCTCTCTCTCGCATACACACACGGTATACACGCATACGTATACACTCGTACACTTTCTCGTACTTTTACTCGTTCGCTCTCGACTCTTCCCTTTCTCTCTGATATTAAATCGGTTACTTTCGCTCGCTCTCTCTCTCTCTCTCTCTCTCTCTCATTCTCTCTCACTCTTTCTTTCTCTCTTCCATTCTGTCTCTCTGCACACGTAAAGGCACACACATACGCATACTCTTTCTCTTCCTCCTCATACAATTCAGCAGCGGTGCTTGTACTAATTATAAGAATATCGTAGTTAAGGATCGAGCGCGAGATTCCCTTGGTAGCGCCAATAGTGAAATTTAATTCGAGACACCGCGATATAATACTTTTATATTCCAGTATTGGACAAACTTTTTTTTTTTTTTTTTGTTTCGATGAATTATCGATGGACGTAATTCGTGCCACGTGGAATCAAGATCACTCTCGCGTTAATGTCGCGCACCGGAAGTGGTTGTTCCGGAAGTGGGACAACCGTTACCGTTGGCCAAGGGATGTCTCGATCTCGATTCGTTTTCGTCGCGGCCTCGTGCCACGCGCGGTAAATTCGCTATTTATTCGTTACAGATAATTGTACTGTTTAATTAAACGCGAACGAACGAAAAAAAAAAAAAAAAGTAGTCATTGTAAAGGAACGCGAGTATCGGTAATACTCGTTACTTAAAAAAAAAAAAAAAAAAAAAAAACGAAAACAAATATAATAGAGGATACAAAAGGGGCTAGGGTGGGGTAGATGGATGGGGATGGGGAAAAAAAAAAAAACAAAAGAACAAGGAGAACCGCATAAGAAATAAACAGAAAACGAAGTAAAATAAAAAAAAAAAAAAAAAAAAAAAGAAAAACGTAAAAAAAAAAAAAAAAAAACGAAATAAAAAAAAAAAAAAAAAAAAAAAGAAAAACGTAAAAAAAAAAAAAAAAAAACGAAATAAAAAAAAAAAAAAAAAAAAAAAAAAAAAGAAAACACATATCGGGAATCACATTGTAGTCGGTTGTTTTAGGAAAATCGTGGACAAAAAGGAACAAAATATGTATGTATGTATGTATGTAAACGCGCAGGGGATGGTGGAGTCACTATGTATATATAATATGGATCGACAACGAAGATGAGTACGTCTTAGCGGATACATTGGCAGTATAAAGGCGAGTGATCGAGATTTAAATTCTGTTTTTTCTTCGGCGTAAATAAATAATTTCTAAAAAAATATCACTGGTCTCAAGATGTTCGGCGAGTGCCACCATCGTAAATTGATACATCGATAACGATCGCTCTAATTTCCGTTGGACAACTTTCTCCTTCCCCTATCCTTTATTCGCGAAAAATCAAATATCCAGCGACAATTTAAATCGTTTGAATTATCGTGCTTACTTTCTTCGAAAGTAGAAAGGATAGGAGATAAAGGAGAATAGGAATTCATTCGAAATTAAGCGACGATTAAGTTTCTCTCTGTAAACGGTGACACTCGGCCGATAATACCGTAGAAATTCGTTCACAGCTGGATGCGCCCAGCGCCTCTTGATTTCTTTTTTTCTTTTTCTTTTTTTTTCTTTTTTCTTTTTTTTTTTTTTTTTTT